CCATGACTTTCGGGAGCGTGCCGGCAGTGCAGTGGATCAGGAAAGCGCACGGAAGTTGTTATACATGAAGAGCTTCTGCTTTCGTAGAAAACCTGAAGAAACGACAGCGTCAGGGACACGCGATTGAAGGTGAGAGGGTGAGAAGGTGAGAGGGTGAGAAGATGAGAAGGGGAGATGGTGGGAAGGTGGGAAGGTGGGAAGGTGGGAAGGTGGGAAGGTGGGAAGGTGAAGAGGTAAGAAGGTAAGAAGATGGAGACCTGGGGGGAATCGGAGAAAAGCCTGCATCGGTCTATAAGAACCCTGCGGAGCATCACCTTCCTCCAATTGTCCGCTACTCCTTCGTTGGTTTGTATTCCCTGCCCGGTTACGATCGCCTCAAGTCAGAGAAGATAGCATCAAACGCTTATAAACCAAGTAAGCAACTAGCATCACTATGGGGGACAACCAGGATCACAAACCGAAACCCGGCATGACACAGAGTGAATCTGACGTTATCGATTATTTTGCCGATTACTTTTGTCCCTATATATTTGAAGTGGAGGAGGTACAGGGGTTAAGCCCCACTGAATACGCCCAAAAGGTCAGTGACACCCTTGCTGACATTCCCAAACAGGTTGGGGCAATCTGTGATAGGGCCAGAGAAGAGCTGCAGAATATGCTCAACCAGAGTAAGGATCTAAGGGGCAGCACACAATCAGTAACAGAATCTCTTGGGCAGATGAGGGGAAAATTGACCACCCAAATAACTGACCTCGACAGGTTTCACACTGCCTTCAACTCCGCTTTGGAGCCGATTGTATATACTCACGAGACTCGACCCACCGACATTCTCTCTCATGTTTTAAACTTTGGGCGTTTAGTCCGGGCGGTCCTTGGGCACCAGGATCTGGAGGCTTTGCTCAGAGAGATTGATGGCTCATTTGATGGGTTAGGCCGCCCTAGTCCAGGAGCCGTCCAGCACCTCTCTCAGGAGACTATCCAGGCAAGGATCCTGTGGCCCTTTGATCTGTTGTGGATACAACAAGACTGCACTGGGGTGAGGATTGGAGAAGTGGCTGAGGAAGTATCGAGTATGGGATGCCGCTCACGGCTCTGTAGCGCAGGAGCCGCCACATTGCCACATTGCCACATTGCCACATTGCCACCAACCTCGCACAACCACGTGACACTCGCTTAGGCGGAGTTTTCGGTAATACAAAGTTGAACGTGCTTCGAGTCGATGTGGCAGTATGTCGGCATGACAACATCCCTTCCCTCGCTTCCTTCTCCTTGACCTCCTCCTCTATAGGGGTGGCATCGCCCACAACCTGATCTCTGTCAACATCTACACAACCCCTCATCGTAGCTCTGTCCCTTGTCTTATACAAGATCGGGTCAGTCATCTAAGCCGTGTAAATTGACCGAAGCATTGGGAAGGTTTCAACTCCGACGATAACTTCCCATATTGGTCATCGCGTCCATCTCCCTAATTACCTTGACTCTATCCATCATCCATCCATTCCCTGCCCCATCACCTCTACGTCATAGGTTTGCTTTTGCTGCCGGTCGTATCTTCGGTCATTGACGTACACCTCAAGTACCGACAGTCGACACAATACAGCCCCACGAAGCGATCTGAGAGAGACGAGGATCATACCCAGGCGAGCGAGAAGTAACAACAAGTCAAAGGTACAACTTGGAAACAACTTCACAATCATGCCAGACATTCCTATTGCTACCCCCGTCCCTCGCACTCCACAGAAACCAAACGTCAATATGGACCCTTCTCAATGGCTCAACTTTTCACTTCCCCCTCGTCGACAACAGGGACCGACCATACCACGACGAAGCAAACGTGGAGAAGGTTGGAAAGGTGGTGTCTTGAGTAGAGAAAGATATGTTCAAGCGAACTTTAGGTTTGTTTTGAAACCGACGGAGGTTTTGAGTTATGGTGCTCATTCCGCTGATCCTGATATGTGAGTAGTTTACATTGTTTGCTACCTGTCTTCGCCTCAAGCAACCTACCCCGGATGACAAAATATGAACGTTAAGACTTGAGGACCATGCTCATTATCAGCTCCCTCCATTGGCCACATATTCTTCAGGTTCTCGTACCTACTTTCTCGGCCTTTTCAGTCGCTCAAGGACACGTACCCAGTGACCCGACGGGGTCTTATCAACACGACCTAGAAACATCCTCTGAATCTGATGACGACCTCGATGATTCGCTCGATGAAGGTTCTGAAGAACGTCGAAGGAAAGAAGTAGAACGACAAGGTCGGATGTGTCCCATTTGTCTATCGAAACCGGTGGCCCCTCGAATGACAAAATGTGGGCATGTGAGTTGCCTCCTCTTCAATCGAGTAAGCGTTGACTCACTTTAGATCTTCTGTTTTCCTTGTATTCTCCACTTTATCCGATTGTCCGAGATACCAAAATTCGCCAAATGTCCTATTTGCGGTGATACCATTCAAGAAGGTATGCTGAAGAGTGTTCGATATCTTGAACCTGGTGCTATGCTTCGATCTGCGATGGGAGAAGAGTTGGAATCGTCGCCCCTTTTATCACCTGTAATCTCAGGCTCACAACATCCGGTTCCGGAAACTCATCTTGACGCGGTAAATACCTCAAGAACACTCAATGTGACGGCAGAATTCGGAAGTGTCAACGCGTCCGAATTGCCTGTCGGGGCTGACGTGTCGTCATCGATAGAGCCTCCACAAGAAGGCACAGTTGGGGACATGAAACCTTCTGAGCAACATCTTCCCAGTTGCACGGACGACCTACATGTGGCAAATTCACCTCGAGGGAATCTCATCCACATGCGTCTCGTTCAACGCCCCCAAATGACCACCATGGCATTACCTTCCTCCCTTACCTGGCCATCCGAATCCCTTCCTCCTCTCACAGCCCCGTGGTATTTCCTGCCTGACGTCTTAGCTTATTCGAGGTTCATGCTGGCCTCGCCTGAATACATGTTGGCGGAGTTGCAGCGTGAGCTGGACGAGTTGCAAGCGGAGTGGGATCTTTTACGTGGGGATGAACTGGGAAGGGATTTTGTCCGTGTGGCCAGGGAAAAGGTACAGAGACAGGTGATGAAAGTGCATGGGGAGTTGAAGACGAGCTCCGTGGAGAAGGATGAGCGTAGATGTAGGGAGATGTGGAATGAGGTTGTTGCTGTGCCATCGCCCCGCAGACCTGTCAATCCTTCAAACTTTCAATTCTTTAACAATCATCCCGAGGTATCCAAGCTTGGCGACTCATCCGGATCTAATCATCAAGATAATGAGAAGGGTCTATCCAAAGTTGACTCCGAAGTCATCCCTCCCAATCGTCCTGTGCAACCCAACCCCATGCCCCATCTCGCAGCTCAAATGCAAGTAGGGGGAGGAAAGAAGAATCGTCGTCGAAACCCACCCATCAATCCTATCTCTCAAGCACCATCTTACCACTTTTACCAATCTTCTCTCGGAGCAAACGTCTTCCTCCATCCACTGGACATTCGTATCCTTCTCGCACACTACAAATCTTACTCGTTATTCCCGCCTCGGATATCTTTCTCGTCATCTGGTTTTGATTCGGAGACAATGACGGAAGAACTTCGACGTCGTGCGAAATATCTTGGACATTTACCTTTAGGTTCAGAGGTGGTGTTTGTCGAAGCGGATTTAGAACCTTTAGTGGGGAAAGAGACTTTGGGGATGTTTGAACAACCCCTAAAAGCTCGGTATACCAAAAGAAAGGAGAGAACGAAGAAAGAAGATAGGGCTAGGAGTAAATGGGAGAAAGCGGAGAGGGAAAAGATACCGGGAGGGTTAGGGTTGACTAAAGAAGAAAGAGATTTAGAAGTTGTTTTACAAAGAAGCAAAAGGGACATTCTGGATATATCTCAATTATCAATTCATCAATACAGTAATTCATCATCACCAATCAATTCAACAGTCGATTTGGAGACGGATGATAGAGAAATTAATCAATTTGTCTATCCTCAACCCGGTCGGTCTAATCCTATATCAACCCCTGGTCAACCAACGACGATCAGTCCGTCAGAGTCAAATCATACGACCCAAATAGGATCATGGGGTTCACGTCCTACGTTCGCCACGACCCTCCATTCGGCTCCTCAAAGACCTAGAGAGGTGTCGGTTGCGAGATCAAGAAGAGGGAACGAGAGTGCGGATGAAGATGTGGACCAGGCCTGGGCAGCTTTTGAGAGGATGGATTTGGAGAATGGGAATGGTCTGGGGGACGAGAGGCAGGGTAGGATCTAGGGTGCCT